CTTCTCCCTGAAAACTAAAAACTCAACCGCTTTCTCTCCCATTTTCATCTGCTCCCACGAAGTAAGGGCCCGGCGATTTGGTGTTGTCGGTTGTCGCTCTGATGGAGGGTTGAGCCAGCGGTGTCATTAGTAGACTCCATCCTCCGACTGTTTTAGGAATGTAGATCTCAGATCATCTCCGATCGTTTTTCAAGAGAAGGCTCCAGAGACTCTACAGATCTGACAGGTTTTCTATCCTCTTTCCATTTATTTTGTTTTCTTTTGGTTCTACGTTATCCCTTTGTTCTTTCGACTAGTTAGTTTTCTCTCGTCTTTTTGGCGAGTGTTCCCCTCTCGTCTCTTTGGCGAGTTTTCCTCTCGTTTCATTGGCGAGTTCTCCTCATAAGCGTGGAATGATAAAATGGTCACACCAGAGTCAGGCTTGGCTATGGTTGACCAGATCTGTGAAGAAGCACCGAGTTCATCCAACAACTTCGGCTTCAAATTTGTAAGACAGTCTGCTATTCAAGTTTTCTATAACATTGTTAGAAAATTTGTTTCTATGTCTTGACTATAAAGAATGCATTACCATTCTAACGATTTGTATTGTAAACATTTGTGCTTATGATTACTGAATTAGCATTTTATTTAAAATAAATAAATAAATTTAAACTCAGAATTATTATATTTATTAATTTATATATTTATTTATATTATAATAAATTGTAAGTTAAAAATTATTTATTTAATCATTTTGTTATAATTATTATTACTCTATAACTATTATAAATTTTAATTTATAATTTTATTTTAATATAAATAATACAATTATTATCATCTTTAAAATAATTAATAAGTTATAATAAATAATTTTATAATAAATTTATATTCATGTTTTTCAAAATGAACCAAATAAAAAAAAAATTATGACTTTAGCCGGTTCTAAATCCACCTAAATGGGAAAAAATCCCTACATTAGTTGCAATATTAATACAATTTACGAGACTACGGACAAAGTCCTTTCCTAATTGAATTGGGAAACTTCCATGTATGATGTATTATCAAACATTATTGTGTCTTGTGTGGAGTGTGGAATACAGTTCAAAAATATAAAGTATATTATTCTAACTCATAAAATATATTATTTTAGTATATAAACTATAAAGTATATTATTTTAACTCATAAAATATATTATTTTATCTCAAAAATTTTATTATTCTACACATAAAGTATATTATACGTTATTCTAACTTATAAAATACATTATTCTAACACATAAAGTACATTATTCTAACTCATAAAATACATTATCTTACTCTAGAAATTTCATTATTCTAACACACATAAAATATATTATTCTAACACATAAAGTACATTATTCTAACTTATAAAGTACATTATCTTACCTTAGAAATTTCATTATTCAAACACACATAAAATACATTATTTTAACTCATAAAATACATTATATTATCTCAAAATGTTCATTATTTTAACATGTACAAAGAGCAAGAATTTTTTTTAACATCAAATTAAAACGACGTCATTTTGGACCCTGATCCACACAGCTATGTGAACCACGGTCGACACCATAATTTGCCATGTATCATTCAACCAAGATAACTTGCTATCTTTCTTCCAAAAGGCTGAACCCCAACCCTAAGGGCCCAAGATAGCTCAATGCAAGCTCATTATGCAAAATTAACATAAATAGGGAAGTTAGACCTTCATAGATTTTATCTTTTCTGCCTTTTCTGGCCAATGTGAATATCTTGATTCTTGAGCTCTGCATAACATCTTGGACCTTGAAGCAATCCTTGTGGCTTGGAAATGGCCTAGTCTGTCATCATCAAGTTTGGACCGGCCCAAAGACGATTAATGGGCAAATTATTGTGTGGACCATGAATATCATGTACATTTTTAATATATTAAAAGTATATTATTTTTGTACTGAAGGTACATTATTTTAGTATATTAAAAATATATTTTCAAAAAATGTACCTTACGTACATAAATAATGTATCCTTAGTATATTAAAAATGTACTTTTTATTTATGGTCCATGCGATTAATGCCTATGTCAATCGTAATATGGTGGACCATGGTAATACGCTACATATGTATATAGTTAAATGAATATACATGTATTAGAATTAAAATGATACTTTAATATTGCTATAATAAATCTATTATGTGTATAAGATGAAACTAAATAGCAGAGTTCATACAGAATAATGAATGATTCAATGCTTCAGATTTCATGGCGGCGGCCATGGCCATCGGCCGATGGCTGTTTAATAATAATTTAAAAAAAATTAAAACAATTTAAAATTAAAAAAAATAAAATAATTCATTAAAATATAAAAATTTAAAAAGGGACATGTGTTAACCTGGTGATGAACTAACTTGTTAATTAAATAATTTTGGACTCAATTGAATATTTTTGTCGGTTTAAGAGGTTTAAATGGAGTGTTTTTTACTTAGAAACTCAATTACATTATCCGTTTCACTTAAAGGGTTAATTTGACACTTTTTCCAAAAAATTTCATGAACTTAAAAGATTGATTTTGTTTGAACATATTTTTGAGATGGATGGGAGTGGTTTAATACGAATTGAGACTAGCTAGTATTTGTCAAAACATGACTTGATTGGTTACTTTATATCAACTGAATCAAACTAACTCATTAGTTAGTTACATCTATAAGAGAAACTATATATCTCCAAATGACGTCCAAACAAAAACTATACATTTCCATGAAAGAGATGTGACATTTAATTAATATATTTATTGTTGAGAGCTTCACACTTTCACGTCATTCTACTTATGAAACATTTGGTCAAGTTTAGGTGTATTATAATGCAGCAGTACCTGCTCATCTATATAATGGAAGCATCACATCTTGTATATATTCAATATATATTTATTTGCCTCTTATTTAATCAAAAAATATATATTAGAGGAATCATATTCTGCCAAATGCAAGAGGCTTACGAAACACTAGGGAAATTTTTTGATATATATATTACATCTTAAAGCCTCAATCTCCTCCATTCATTATCTCCTGCAACACTTAAACAAGAATGGCTATCACAATCTCAATATCCATATTTGTAGTTTGTATGATGTTATTGATGTCAAGCAAGTTTGGGGCGTCGGTCTCTAGTCCACTTTGCCAATCAGGATATCCACACAACGCAATCCCAGTGCACACCGAAGACATAGACTTGATGCAATTTGCTGGGAATGTGGAGTTCTTGGAAGCAGAGTTCTTCTGCTGGGGTTCTTATGGCTACGGGCTCGACGTTCTTGAGCCGGGGCTAGTCGACGGGGGCCCTCCTCCCAAGGGCGTAACCAAAGCCAATCTCGATTTCCTCACTCGTAACATCTTCAAGGAGTTTTGCAACCAAGAAATTGGTCATCTAAGGTTTGCTTATTTTAAAATTTTGAAGTTGGGTAGTAGGTAGATCATGCACTTGGACAGACATATAAAGGAAGTTAGATCATATCATATCATATCCCTAAAGTGTGTGTGTGTGTGTGTGTGTGTGTATATATATATATATATATATATATATATATATATATATATATATGGATGTCACAATTGAATTCTATGTTCAACCAATTTGAATGAAATGAATACTATCGCAATAAATAAGGAGTATATATAATTTTGATGGACTAAAAATATGATTCCAATGAACATATTTAAAGGGGAGTATCATGATAGATAGGTATGTTGGATCTTATTTGCATAATGTTCTCTCTTTTTATATTTGTTAAACAAATTAATTCCACTTTTGGATACATGATTATAGTGCATTTCTATAGTTAGTACTCAAATTATTTTTAGTCCTTGAACTTTTTAAAACGAACTTGGTCAGCTTACAAACTAGAAGAACTAAATATAGTCAAATTAATAATCAAAAAACAAATTTAAATTAATAATCAAAAAACAAATTTAAATGAAAATGTCCCTATTGCTGGTACGATCAAAAGTGAAATTAATTCTTCTTAGATCTATTACAATATTACGTCTTGAATAATGTTTTAGATATGAATCTATAAAAATAAAGAAACTTTAATTTGATTTTAATTTGCAGGGCTATAAAATCGAGGGTTGGATTGTTTGAGAGGCCTTTGTTGGATCTTAGTACAAAAAATTTTGCACAAGTATTTGATGAAGCATTTGGTTGTAAACTTGAGCCACCATTCGACCCATACAGGGACAGCCTAAGCTACATGTTGGCTTCTTATGCAATTCCATATGTTGGATTGGTAGCCTACGTGGGTACAAACCCTAACATCAATGGCTATATAACAAAGAGGGTAAGTCTACAAAACCATGAAGGATGTGTTCCGTTTATATGCTTAACCGGTTAATAGGATTGACTATGATACCAAAATGAAGAATTCACTCTATTTGATCAGTTGATAACTAGACCATACATTAATTATTTATATATATTATACGTCTATATCGACTAAAATACTAGGGCTTTTCACAGCTACTGGCAGGTTTGCTAGGAGTTGAAGCGGGGCAAGACGCAGTTATTAGAGAGTACCTCTACGAGCGCGCTTCCCACGTTGTGTTCCCATATCGCCACACCGTAGCAGATTTCACCATCCGCATTTCAGTGCTAAGGAACCAGTTGGGAATGTGCGGACTCAAGGATGAAGGATTGCTCGTTCCACCATTCCTTGGGGCTGAAAATCGCACCACCGGTAACGTTTTGTCTGCCGACTATGAATCACTCTCTTACAAGAGAACTCCGGCAGAAATACTCAGGATTTTATACACCACCAGCAATGAGCACATCCCTGGTGGCTTCTTTCCCCTGGGAGGTAATGGTAGAATTGCAAGGGATTTTCTTATAGAGTGACACTATGGTTATGACAAATAGTATTTCTTCATGGTATTGTTTGCTATAAAATTTTAAAAACAAAAAAATAATGGGAATTTTCTATTTCTTTCACAGCTTTCATATGCAATATGCAATCTGACGCTGAATAATTTAAAAATGGAATAATGAGATGTTATAAACAACAAATTGTCAAAACTCAAAAAATCAAATTTAAGAAGCAAATAAGTCCATCACTATCCCATACTTTTAAGTCTAGAGCAGGATCAAACTAAACTCAATTCAAACCTAACCCGAAACATTTAGATTAAAATGGAGGCTTAGAAGCACGAGATTGTAAAGCTATAAATAGAAGTGACTACAATACCAGATAGACTTGAGACGAGCAAAATCAACAGCACACCAGAAGAGATCACTATTGGTGGATTTGGGCTTTCTTCTTCTGCCAGAGCCTGTCAAGAGCACTGTCAGCATCTCCCTGCAAAATAGATTCCAAAGCAGTCTCATTAAGTTACTATGCCAGCATTGATCATATAAATCACTCAAGATTTGTAAAATTTAAAAGTAGAAGTAGATAATGAAAAATACATCATATTCGAAGACAACCATTCAAAGACAACCAGAATAGATAATGGATAATGAACCATTCACATACAAAGACAACCAGAATCTCAAGAGTTCAAGACTTGCTTGGTAACTTATTTTATATGAGTTCCTCTCTTTGGTTATCTTAACTTGTTAGAATATATAGTAAAAAAACATTCAAAATTTGTATAAGTAGGTGAAAGAGCATTCGCTTCTAAATATCATGTAGATAATTCACATATAGACATATAGTAGGTTTGACATGCACTTGAGGTGCATATGGTATATCTGTGAGTGAAAGATCACTATACAATATACTGTGTATACATATCTAAAAAGTCATCTCTAGTTTTCAAGAAAGAGCAATTTAGAAAGAAAGGAAATTTGAAATAGATGGCATCCTTAAACTCTATATCTTCATAAACAGGTGAAGGCATATTCAACTGCCACTGTGATAGTTATACTGGTTGGAATATATTGGTCATAGCCTTCTAAAATAACTGAAGAACCATTCTAGCACAATGCCAACACATCCCAATGTTGGTGCTTTTCAAATAAACAAAGAAACCAGCACAGGAAACATGAATCAAACTGCATCATAAAATGCTCCCCAAAACACGCATAAATTTACCTGTGCACGAACAAATCCACACAAAGCAAAAGTAGTGTGTTTTCCATCATAGACACCGTGCTCATTCAAATGGCCAACATTAATTTGGACAGAAGCATGATCCTTGGAAGTAATCAGTCTGTTTGTGGCAGAGCTGCATCAACACAATACAATTATCAGTAATACATCAGCTCGATCTCTAACCTCTTTTCTATAGTTTTTAAGAGAATGGCCAATGGTCACACACTAAACAGCTCATTTTGATGATAGAGAGGTGATGAAAGATCATACCACTTCCTTGGAATATAGAGATCCATGTTTTGTCCCTCTTCATTCTGCATCTTGGCAAGTTATTCAGGCACCACAGGGGTATCAAAACGATTAATCACCTGAGTTCATCAAAGAGTAACAAGATCAATGGAAACAGAACAAAAATAAACAACTATTCGTCTATTCCTCTTGTTTTAAAAAAAAAAATCCAGCTAATTTGTTGTTTGAGCTAAATCACTATTTCTTGGTTAAGCTTCACAGTTTTCAAGCTCATTTGTTAAAAATGGATATGCAAATCCTACAATCAACACACGTGCCAAAACTCCGAATCGTTTGAACAATAAATCCGTTTGTAGAGCTAATCCTTCTTTTACGATTACAAATAAATTCTTCTGCATTTTAACGCAATCTTCGGGACGATATATTCAACAAACCAGAGATTTAGCTTTGCATAGTGATTTACCAGTCTGTTTATCATAAATTACAGCCAAACAACATGAATCAGATTCCTTATTCCACTATTTGGCGTACATATGCAATCCATAGTATAAATCAATATCTAAAAGCGATTAGTAGACCATTGAACGAAGAAGGAGAAAGAAAACAAAAAACAATAAGCATGATTGATGCATAGTATCTTCGGAAAGAGAATGAGAGACTACCGGCGACGAGAGAAGTCCGTAGCTGCGGTCTACAACTCTACTATGACAACTTCCGAACTTAGAAGCGTTTTGGTTTATATTCCACTAGTATTTGCGCCCGTGCGTTGCACGGAATGAATTTGTTATAATATTTTATAAATATTTAGATCGATATACAATTGTATAAATTATAACATCGAATATTATATAATATAATTAAAGAATTGAGTTGCACCGATTATGTTTTCTGATGTTATCAATGCTTGAATTTGAGTAAATAATTGCCCAATTAATAGCTAACGTGTAGATATACGCATTCGGTGCTGCAACTTTAGAGATTTTATATATCAGTGTTTAGAATTTGTATTAATTGGGCTAATTAGCTCGTTGTCTAGCAATTCAGTTATAGAAATTATTTATATGGAAGATATATTTTATATGTAGATATATAGCAATTTTGTCATCTTTATATATAAAAAACCATAATATCAATGACTTGAATTATACATTATTGAAAATCTCTTTGTAGACAACATTGGTAGTAGTAACACAATTTTATCCATCCTCGTCTAGAGTTAAAATCACCAAACCATCAGGATGGGTGACTCAGGAAAAAGTCACATACAATTAACCGTGATTAAAGACTGATTTTTTCAGTAATAACTCAACGTGAGTTAGTGTTTGACCCTGACTTTTGTTGATAGTCGTGGCATATGCGAGCATCAACATGAGTTGTTTTCGTTAGAACTTGAAGGGCAATCTCGTATCAGAAGGGTGAAAGACATTTTAATTGAAGATTTTACTTTTATTAATAGTATAAATATAGATTGGTGTCAATAATAATTAATAAATTATTATTTCCTTATAAAATTACATAAAATTTCAAATGGATTTTTTCATTTATTACGCAGAATTTGTTTATGTTATTCTTACAATTATAATGGTTTAATTATTCTCAAAATTTGATAACCATTTTTCTTTTTTAAGTTGACTTTAATTTGTGATAAAAATTCATTAGATATTGGTTAATTTTCATATAAAATTTTGTTACCAATTAAGCTTTATTAATTTTTTTTATCAATTAATTAATATTCACATTAATGTGGGCGGAAATGTTGAAGATGTGAATTTTACTTTTATTAATAGTATAAAGTAAATAATAATTAATAAATTATTATTTCTTTATAAAATTACGCAAATTTCGAACGAATTTTCTCATTTGTTACGCAGAATTTGTATCCATTATTTTCACAATTATAATAATTTAATTATTCTCATAATTTGGTAACCATTTTCTATTTTTATGTACATATTGACTTTAATCTGTGGTAACAATTCATTAGATATTAGTTAATTTTTATATAAAATTTTGTTACCAATTAAGCTTTATTATTTTTTTACTAATTAATTAATATTCATGTTAATTTGGGCTGGCCAGGACTATGTGGTCTAATGGTATCCGGGTTGGACTTCCATTTGGAAGATTGTGAGTTCAAGCCTCAGTGGAGGCGTTATTGGCTCTTTGTGTTTCAATAGGTTGAGAAAGTATATGAACATATACTACAATGTAATAGAGCTAGTAGCATTCAAAAAAAAAATGTTAATTTGGGCTGAAATGTTATAAATGAGGATTTTACTTTTATTAAAGTCATTTCACTAAGAACCTGGAGCTTGTGGTTGAGTGGAAGGGACACATCCATCCTTATTAACCAAAGGTGAGCAACTTTAAATCTCCAGGCCAAAGCATAAATGATATTGCAATAATTAATTTATTTATGATCATTGGTTCACATATTTGATTTATTTATTTTTTCTTTAATTATTCTCGTTGTAAACATAAATGATATTGCAATAATTAATTTATGATATTTAGCAAGTTGTATTTTTTTTTTTAAATATAAAATTTTCTCATGTTTAGGGATTAAAAAATATTTTAGAATTATTTTTATTAGTAAGTAATTTTATTTTTAAAATATTTTTCAGCAACCCAAACACTCCATTAGTCTATAATAAAAAAAATGAAAAATAAAAGTTATTTCATTAAGAAAATTAAAACTAATTAAAGTAAATCTAATCATGCTATATTTATTTGTAACTGTATATTAATTTCATTTTGAAATCATTGGTTCACATATTTCAATATGTTTTTAATTATTATAATTTATAAACAGAAATAATATTGTACTAATTAATTTATGATATTTATCAAATTGTATTTTTTAAAAAAATATAAGATTTACACATGTTATGAGGGATTAAAAAAATATTTTAAAATTATTTTTTATTAGTAAGTATTTAAAAAAAAAAAATCACCAACTCAAACACTCCCTTAGTCTCCATAAAAAAACTGATAAAGAAAAGTCATATCATTAAGGTAATTAAAACTAATTAAAATAATTGTAATCATGCTATATTTATTTGTAACTATATATTAATTTCATTTTCAAATCATTGGTTCCCATATTTGAATTATTTTTTTTTCCTTAATTATTATAAACATAAATAATATTGTACTAATTAATTTATGATATTTATCAAATTGTATTTTGTAAAATATAGTGTTTTACCGGGAAAATTTTTTGTTGTTATGAATTTAAAATTAAAATAAAAAAAAATAAAAAGATGTTAAAATGTACAATATAATAATATAGTTGGATTTTTATATATTTGGTCAAGTACCTATTTTCATAACATACAAAATTAAATTTTAAATATTGTATGGTTAATATAATCTCTAATCATGTACATATTTAGATAAATTTATAGAAAAAATTTATAAAATTAAATTGATTTATTCCAAATTGTATTTTATATATATTATAATTCTAAAAATATGAATAATAATAATTAAGAGAATTGTACTTAAAAATCAATAAAAATGTAAATTCTAAATTTTGTATGAATAAATATAAACTCTAATCAGAGGCATATCATTATCTCTATATCTCTATCTCTATCTCTATATATATTAAAGCAAAATGGTTGACACAAAAATTTTTCCCCCAAAACGTAGGGACATTTTTGTAATATCATTTATTATTATTATTATTATTATTATTATTATTATTATTATTATTATTATTATTATTATTATTATTATTATTATTATTATTCATTACCCTATTATGGTGGCTGACAATCCAATTAATATGTCATTATTTACCTATTGATTACGCTCCCATTTTTATTTGACTCATATTATTCTGGCTGGCAATCCTCTCCATAATTAGTGGCAATCCTTTCCATATAATTACTATTTATATTTAACTTATATTATGCTGGCTAAATAATGAAAAAAATATATTTCCATAAAATAAAATATGTCAGCACTTATCTAAATAATTACTTACTCAATAATTATTTATCCTCTCCATATAATTAGTTCCGTATTGATTATAGAAATTATAGAAATTTAAATTATTATTAATTAGTGAATTTTTGGTATCATTTTCCTTTTTAGTTAATTTGGTTTCCTTTTCTATGTTTTTTACTGTTAACAAATTATTAGTATTAATCTCCTTTTATAGTTTCCTTTTTAAGCTAATAATTTATATCCAAAATTATTGTACATTTATTTTAGTTTCATTTCCTTTTCTATTTTTCCTACTTTTACTCCTAACAAATTATTAGTATTACTCTTCTTTTATATTTTCATTTTTTACTGCTAATTAACCTTATTATTACTATCATTATTATTATTATTATTATTATTATTATTATTATTATTATTATTATTATTATTATTATTAACTGAATCCCGTTTTCATTTCATTTTTTTCTACTGCTAATATTATTATTATTATTATTATTATTATTATTATTATTATTATTATTATAGTAATAATAATTCGTTATTATAGTATAGTATTTTAAATTAAATTATTTAAATTAAATCACCCTATATATTTAAATAGATTACCATAAAGTTACCATAATAATTACACAAAATAATGAAAGAAAAATTATGAGAATAGTTACCCTTAATAAAAATTAGGAAATTATATTAAAAAATAATCTATATATTATGGTAAGTATAATCTATTTTGTGCCAATCATATTATACATTAAGTATAAAAATATATATGTATGTAAATTACCATAATAATTACACCAGAAAAGGTGACAATACATAATTATTAGGCAATAATATTAATAATTAATTATTAAGGCAGGTAAAATTGATTTTGTACTAATAATATTATACATTAATTACTAATAATATTGTACTAAAAGCAGTGAGTCTATATAGTACAACTCCTTTCTTAAAAGTTAAAAAGGACAACTCCGAAAGCATTGGGTGGCTGCTAACTGTCAATCACCCTGCTTTTATTTTTTTTATTTATTTATTCTAGGAAACCTTAAAAAAAAAACTTGTACCAATAATTTTACTCTAATCATCCAACCATGATATACGACATAGTACAATGTGGGGGAACCGAAATAGATTTGAGATGACTGCATTCTTTGTATTTAACAAACTATAGCATGGCATCATACATCAGTCGTGTACTAAATTAAAAAAGAAAAAGAAAATATCAAGATGGTCACAATAGCAAAAGCACTCAAAGGATAGGGAGCTACACAATCCTTATTTGTCTTGCATGGCAAATCATTCTTCTTCTTTGCTTCATCACCACTCCAAATACCTACAATCATTATATCAACTCACAATATTAGAGTTTTCACACATCTAATAAACATGTATGTTCTCTCTTATATATTTTTAATGTAGACTCTTAAAATATATATATCATTGAGAAGTTGAAGATCTGATTTTACCGTCGTTATTATTCTCGATCGTATCTCTACAATCTTTCATAAAAACTAAACCATTAGGGTTCTATTACCAAGGCTCTTCCTCCTCAATTTTCTTTTGTTGAAGCAGAGCATCCTTACGTATCTTCAAGCTCATACCAGAGATATAACCTGCAAAACCTATTGAAGTACTGGAGAATATAGTTAGAAAAATATAAAAAAAAAAATCATACGAAAAGAAAGTAGAAAAATAAGTCTGAGATTCTTTGATTGATGGGGGAGGCTAGAGATTAGAAGAATTATAAGTTTGTATTTATAGGAAGAAAATACTAATTCAAAAGGAAAGAATAATAATTTATTTATTTAAGATAATGTTGAGGTAATAACATTATTATTATTATTATAGATTATTATTATTATTATTATTATTATTATTATTATTATTATTATTATTACAAAAATGCCACTAAGTTTTGGGGGGAAAACTTGGTAGGAGGATTTTACTTTTATATATATATAGATATAGATTGGTTTATCAGGGAGTTAATTCCAGCAATGGTCTCTCGAGTATGGTGATTTTTCATAATTAGTCCTTGACTTTTAATTTGGACAATTTAATCACCTAACTTTCAAAATCTTTTCAATTGTGGTCTTTCCGTCAAATCTTAGTTAAGTGACTGTCAATTTGGAGGGTAAAACCGTCCTTTCCCCTAATATTTCATCTCCATTCCCTGTCTGTATACGTGGAAATCATCATCACCGCGCGCCCCGCCGCCGGCCTTGCCAAGCTGGCGGATTTTGGTTCCGCCGTGGAGATCGGAAGTGGACGGCGGGATAAGGTTGCTCCGCCACGTGGGAGTTCATTGTGGATGGCACCGGAGGTCATCCGCAGGGAGTATCAAGGGCCGAAATCCGACGTCTGGTCGCACGGCTGCACCCTCCGCCGGATTCCCTCGCTGTCGCCGCCTTCCCCACTCCCCGCTGCGTGCTTGACTAGTTCAACTCGGACTCTGATTTCAACACCGAGGATTACGGAGAAACCGTTAGCTTCTCGGCGAAGGAAGGCATCGGGAAATTAGCTTCGGAATAATTTCATATTGGGAGGAAATATATGGCGGTTGGGTGAGTGAGTGGTGGTTCGGTAAGGAATCATTGCTTTAATAGCATGGTTGGGGTTATGTTTAAATATAATTTAAAGAGTATTTATTGTCTAAGTAATTGTTTGTTGTCCATTTGTGAGGGTTTAGTCAAGGATCTTCATATCATTCGGAATCCATGATTTGGTTTATTGTACATTACTCATTTCAAGTTTTCCTGTTTTTTGTGTTCCTGCAATTCTCTACAGATCAACAGAGGCAGGTTTTGTCCTATTCCAGTTTCTCATAACCATACTATTGTTTCCCTGCTCTGTTCAACATCTAACTGTCAAATTTTGCATTTGCTTGCCCTCTGTTTCCTAGTCTCTTCGAGTGTGTTTGGATCATCTGTGTGACTGTGTCTAGGAATTTGCACTTCTTGTTGTAGAGCTTGACATTATATGCTTTGTTTTTCCGGTGCAAAGTGCAGCACTGTTTGTAGCTTATGTTTTCCCTTGCCGGAATATCCAAATTTGATGAGGACAGAAGGGGAAAGCAGCAGTTCAGAGTGAACTCAATTTCCCTAGAATGGCGACTGGACCTCGAAGAGGTCAGTTATTGAAAAAATTACCGTAATTGTCTTCTGTAAAATCCCGGATGAATCGATGCAGTAGAGCGGAGTTGTATATGGAGTGACCTGAGCAGCCGCTATTTGGCGATTCTCAGGCTAATTCCGGAGCGTTACGTCGGAGACTGTGGCTTTGGAGTTGGAATTTTTTCCTTTTTTCTTTTTCAGCTATGTTTGATTGGAACGACGAAGAGGTACTCTCCCACTCTCTTTCTTTCGCACACACTCTCTCTTTTTTATTTAGATTTTGTATTTTATTGGAACCACGAAGAGTTCTGGTTCACGGTCGACAGAGAGGAGATGGAAGATGGAGGGAAGATGAAAATGACGCTTTTACCCTTCAAATTGACAGCCACTTAACTAAGATTTGACGGAAGGACCACAATTGGAAAGATTTTGAAAGTCAAGTGGTTAAATTGTCCAAATTAAAAGTAGAGGACCAATTGTGGAAAATCACCATACTCGAGAGACTATTGCTGGAATTAACTCGTTTATCAGGACTAAAAATCTAAAATAACCTCGAAATTTGTTTTAATCACACAAGTGCGAATTAATATTCAATATTCTTTTTAATCTAATCTTAAATAACTTTTTTATTTAATTACGTCATCAATTTTGATAACTTTATTTAATTAAGTCCGTAGTTATTAAAATAAAGGATTAAATTGAAAAAAATCACTATACTCAATAACTAAATGAGGTAAAATTGCTATAGTTGATCATTAATTTGCGTAAAATTATTATAGTTGATGACTAAATTATGTATCAATGTGAAATTATCAAACTATTTTAATAGAAGACTCAATTAAGTAAACTATCAAAATCAGTTACCTAATTAAGCACAAAAAAAAGATCGTTTAAGGCTAAATATAAAAATCACTACAGTCGTTTTATGAGTTCTATTATGTGTACTCTCAAATTATACTCCCTTACTAATGATATGATATTTTTATCATGTGAGTCCAAAAAAAAAAAAAAGTATATACATCAAGAATTTGTAAGAGGGAGTAAAAGTTAGGAGCAAGAAGTGAGAGTTCATGTAATATTTTTCTTTAACAAATATATTAATTGTTTATAACATTTAAAAATTATAAAGCTTTTGAAAAATACCAAACACTAGCGATTTCTAAAATACGTTTACGAGTTAATTTCACCGAAAATCTATTATTTTTTATGACAAATTTAAATTTAGTCATAGATTATGATTTTTACCATTTAAGAATATCATATTTTAAACACCTAAAGTCCTTTCGATGACTTTTCGATGAAAACCTATTTTTTAAAAAGGGGTATTTTCACCTCTTTCATTAATTAATTTTTTCTTTTATTTACCTATGGCTGTTCCTATAACTTTATGGATGAAAATTTATTTTAAGAAAGGATATTTTAGTCTTTTCTATTAATTGTATTTTTTAAAAAAATTTTATTTTCATGTTAATAGCTCCAATTTTTATTTTGTTTTGTCGAATATAAATGACTATATTTGAAATTACCAAACGGAACAGATCTACCGTGGCTGCACCACCTGCTGCCCCGAGCTCCACCGCAGCCACGCCGTCTCACGGCCAAGTGTTCACCCGCCAACAGCAGGTCGCTACTGCTGGGCGCACTCCACCAGCGCCAAACCCCGGAGCGGCGACATCTACAGCACTAAACAAGTGTTACTTCAATGCTGGGTATTGCACGATGTAAACAAAGGCACCGTTGGGGCGCTAATCTTCAACAACGATGGAGGGTACATCTTGGCGTTCAGTGCTCCACTGCCAAGCTGCTCCTCCCCGCTTATGGCCGAGGCATTTGCGTGCAAAGAAGTCTTGTCATGGTTATGGGATCGTGGGGAATGATCGATACACTTATTCACAAATACACTACAGCAATACCTGACATCTGCAACTACTCATATTCGGTCATATCTCAGTTATGCTATAGATGCCTCAAGAGCTAGTATTGGCTCGTTTAATTATTGCTCAGTTATTTATATTCCTAAATTGGATAATTATTATTGCTATGTATTGAGACTCTATCCATCTAAACTTTATCGCAGAGTATTTTGAATAAATGCCACATTGGCTCCTTTCAAAAAAATATTTGAAATTACCAAGATCTCAATTAACTCGACATTCACTTTCCATCTTTCCGCAAACGCCATCTTAATATAATTTTGACGGCCTCCCATAGTCTCATTTTCTTCCCGCCAATCTGTTCTACATTCCTTTCTCTGCACGGTAGGGACACTTAAACTTCAGCTGCTCTGCAAAAAGTAAATGGAATTTCAGCTCAGCGGAAATGAGCTGAAAACCTTCACCCGCTCGATCACTTGCCTTGCGCGCATTGGCAACGAGCTCGTCGTTCAAGCATCCGATTCACTGGTTCTTCTATTTTACCTCCATCTTTGTTGATTTTATGTTTCTTTTACCAATGTTCAGTGGTTAAGTGCATGAATCTATAGACCTATCAAAAATTTTTATCGAGAAAACACATTTTCAATCATATTGGGGTCAGTCTGTGAAGGATAAGATTTTTTTTTTTTTTTTTTTTTTTTTTTTTTTTTTTTTTTTTGGGTTAATTTAGCTAATTAGGGTTTAGAGGATTTATCATCCAAAAAAAAGAAAAAAAAGAAATCTGTATAAAATGCAGTTGGAAAATTCCAATCAAATAGCTGTTTTGCACTGGGGAGATCAACTGCAGAATGCATATGGAAATTAATTTTGTTTTGCATAGAACTAAAATGTTTATTTGGAGAGGTTTTGTGTTGTTCAAACAGTTCATTTATTAATCATTACACTCTCAGACCTTTCGGTTATGCTATAAATCAGAAAATATGTACAAGGAGTTCATGGGTTTATTTCATTTCATTTTATATTCATATATTTATCATCACTCAGATTGCTTATCTAAAGCAACTTCTAAACTAGAAGAAGGAAAATTTATATTACTTGGGATGTTGTGATGTTTGATTTGAAATTTATTTATTTGAATTAATTTCCTTTGGCAGCTTACTCTTCTCACACTAAACTCATCAAGGACTGCCCATCTGTCTATCACATTTAAACCTGATTTTTTCAATGCCTACACAATTTCAGCAGGTCAAGTGAAATTCAGTGTGCTCTTAAAGGTATTAGCTTTCACAAGTATGTTTTACAGTCTGTATTATAATCGCACTGCTGTGTTAATATTTACTTCTAATGGTGTGTACAGGCTGTTTGTTCCGTACTTAGAACACCCTTTGCAAGTATTGACCATTTAAGTGTGTCATTACCTGATCATGATGCATCCAAGGTGCAGTGGACATTGGACTGTTACAATGGTAATAGTCTGTTTTACTTGAAATGCTTCTTTCTCCCTTGTTTTGTGCATTTTTTGCTCTAGGGTTTCCTACACTTAGAAGATTTATAGTGGTTTCTTCCACTCAAAACAATTTGCTAAGAAAGGAGCAGTATTAGTTCAATGCATTAGACGTGACAGCTATTTGGCTACACTTTATTTTTCTGGTAGATTACATACTAGGTTTTGTGACCCCTTTTTTGTGGTGCTATGAGGCTGGAATTTATAATGCCATAGGTCTTTTATGACTGATCTCAGTTGGAAACATCTGGTTTTTGCATTTGTATGTGAGTTATTCTTGAGGGTTGTATAAGGGAACATTTTGTGTCGAACTTTTGACAAGGTCAATGTAGACATCAAAATATTCTAATTAGTCATTGAATAGTGTATGTAGTAAATACTATACGCATATCACTTTGACACATTTTGTTTTTAGCACGATTTCTGTTTAATTTTCTCTATTATTGGGAACAAGGAAATATTCAAATGATATGCTAATTTTCAGGTATCAGGAAAGCCTATTGGATTAATTGCAATGTCAATCCTGACATACAACAGTTATCCATAGATAGAACAATGCTTCCTAGCAATTTGGTGGTGAGGCCTCGTGATCTCAATAGGTTATTGTCTAATTTTCAGGCATATCTTCAGGAGATCACTGTCATAGCAACGGAACCTTCTCTGTTGCCTCCTGATTCTGCGAATGAAATTGGGGGGAAATCTGTTGAGCTTAGAAGCTATATAGACCCAACCAAAGGTATTTAAGGGCATATTCCTATATCTCTTCCTTCTTATATCCTTAACTCATGGGTGCATTGAAGTGTTAAATTTTCATTGGCAGAAAATGATTCATCACTGCACACACAGTTATGGGTAGATCCTACCGAAGAGTTTTTGCAGTATAGCCACGCTGGAAATCCAGTAGATGTGACTTTTGGAGTGAAAGATTTGAAGGTATCTGGATTGTTTAGTATTATCTCATAGTCTCTTAGAGTAAATTATGTAATCCATAACTGAACTTTCTTAAGTGAACCACCATTCTGCTAATGAAAGTCATTCAATCTTCATAACCTTGCTGAAAAGATATTATAGATAACACCATTACTTTTGTATTCTAGAATTCTCTTTCATCTTCAATAAACATAACTTTTTTACTGGTTTTATCTATGAATTTCTGTTGCAGGCATTTGTTTCTTTCTGTGAGGGATGTGAAGTTGATGTACGCTTCCATTTCAAAGAAGCTGGCGAGTGAGATATATTACTTTCTGATCCTTTAACTATATACTTCAAGATGCATTCAATTGGATATGGTTTCTACTGCATTTTTTTTTTGTCAATTGGAGAATTCCTTTTTCATTAGATAGTATGCATAATTTTTCCTCTAAATCCACATCTTTCACCTCACTAAAAATACTTGATAGTTTAGAATGCACTTTTAGTATCGTATGCATTGGGACACCTAAGTTATGAGAAAAAGGAGGAACCAAAGGTAAGACAATAAATCTTGGGATCCATATTTGAGGGCTCATTTGTGAACATTTTCTATGGATTTCTATTTTATCATCATCTTCTATTGTCTTGTCATTTATGCAAGCCTCAAGATGGCCTAGGAATGCATTTGAGGGTCACTATTGCATTCTTTCTTTGTGTCGTCTGTATATTCAACTTCTGTGACCAATCAATTTCTCATTTTATGTACATTGACAATGTTATTCTTGATATAATTTCATAATTTGTTCTGCTATTTTACAAGCATATTGGCTTTGAAATGTGCTCGTTGTCAAAATCTGAATCTGTATTTGTTTACAGGCCAGTTCTGATGGAACCAAAGTTTGGTTTAGATGATGGCTCCAGTACAAACTTTGATGCAGCACTGGTGCTTGCAACCATGCTTACATCACAGCTTAATAGTACAAACTCCACAGACTGCCCCCAACCAGCAAACACTTCACGTGGTCAGGCTGATCAGGAAAGAGGGCCCCAAACAAATGACCAGTCAAGAGGGAGTAATCTTGAACCTCAATCTGATCATACCAGAATTTGGTCTGACCTTTCAGGTAATCTTTTGCTGTTTTGTCATATGTAATGACAACCACAATACATATTTTTATGCTTTCCATGAATCAAACTATCAGGAAATGGTGGGAATGCAGTTGATATGCAAGTTCAAGTAGATAAAACTCTGACTACTAATGAACAACAAGAAATTCAGAGAGTTGGTTCCATTCGGATATCTAAAGTTGATGCTGCAGCAGGAAATATGCCTTGTGGTTCTAATGAGTATCCTGCAATTCCTTTGATATTTACTTTTTTTAAGAAGTTTGTTAACACTCTACATATAAGGTGCAAGTTCCGTAATTGACTTGCAGAGTCAAAGTGATAACTTGATGCATATTAGGATGTTTTGGAATTTTATAACTACTTATTGTTCAATACCTGTTAAATTTAAAAGTTCCTCAATAATAGCCTTTTTAATCTCATTTTAGAATTTAGTGAGGTAGCAGTAATGAGCTTATAGAACCAAAAACTATTATGTCATTCCTTAAAAACCCTAAATGTTGGGTAGATGATTTTAATTTTGAAGGGTATGGTTTTGGATTTTGGAATAATATCTCTGAACTCCAGTAGCTAGTAGCTACTATTCACATTGAAGGGAAATCATTCAATACAAATCTCCCGGTGTTTTAAGAGCTTAGGCATTACTGAGTTCTGTAATTACCATGCAACTTCTCTAGTTATAGGATATTCTTTAAGCATTTCGTGTTTTGTTATAAACTGCAAAGTCTGAAGAAATTTTTCCTTGATCACATGCCTTAGCTGCCGTAACGTGGAAACAGATCACATGGATGAACCACGAGGTTCGTCACAGTACAATGCTGAACTATTCATTTCAATCTCGTCAGGTTAACTACTATAACAAAGTTTTTTTTTTTCTCAGGTAGCGAAGCAACTGCCACTCGAGCTTCTAAATACCATCCAAGTAACTGGGTAGATGCGGATGAGGAAGATGATGAAGGCGATGATGACTCGGAGTTTGTTGTAGACGCAACACCACCACATCATTAGTTGTCCCTTGCAAGCAATCTTTCGAAGGTGGTCTCTACTGTAACTCTGTGTGTATGCCTCTGTCATTTGTGTTTTAATAGCAGTGCCCAAGCCACTAAAGAAAATTGAGTTCTGCAAAGATATATTCTGTTCTATGAATAGTCACCTAACCTAAAAAATGTCTAATTGACCAAATGGTAGATTTGTAAACAACATATATCTTCCTCTTTTTGGTCAATCTTTATTCACCTCAGATCTCCTAAGAAAAAAGAAAAATCTCCAGATTTTGTTGATCTAGGCTTTCAATGATGATGGCCGGGGCATGGTGTTTTGATTTACATCTATGCTTAAACTGAGTGGGGTTGCATCAACTAGTAAATGATACACAAAGTTGGTGGCTTTGTCTCTTGTCTATTAGTATTAGCCTCACAAAATGAATTAATTAATAAATTATATAAACTTTGGGTACAAAAATTTTTGTTAATGTATTGCTTTAAATTATAAAATGTGCTTAGCAACCTAACCACAATACCACATCTAGTTGACTAATTGGTAGATTTCTAAACATTTTACATAGGCTTTACACTTTGCAGCCAAATGGAAATTGGAATGGTTTTGAGCTTTGGACAATAAGTATTGTGCTGTGGTTGGGTATCACAGATATAGTTGAAAAATGAAAATATTTAAGAAATTAGTAAATCTTCTAGATTATGAAAAGAAAAAAAAAAAAATCACTGTGCAAAGGAAATGTGCGTGGTACTAGCATGAGGCAGCAGGTAGCCTACTAACCTTAAAAGCAGTATTCTCGAGCCAAAGAGACGCGATCCTGAAAGCTTGATGAACTCCTTTCCTCACATGGACATGCCGGGAGAGGTACACAACCTAGCGTGACATTGCAAAAAAAAAAAAAAAAAAAAAAAAAAAAAAAAAGCAAGTTGCGTGGTGCTAGCGTGAGGCAACAGGTAGTCCACATAACCTTAAAAACGGTATTTCCAGTTAACAGGACGTGACCCCTAAAGAGCTAGGCGAGTACCCTTCCTCACCTGGGCATGTCGAGAAAGGTATGCAACCTAGTGTGCAATCTCTGGAAAGAAAAAAAAAAAAAAAAAAAAACGACAAAAGGGTGCATGGTGCTAGCATGAGGTAGCAAGCTGCCCACAATCTCGAAGATTTATTAGACATGTGGAGGAAGCAGTGGGAGGACGAGACCGCACCAAGATAGGATGTTTTGGCCAGGAGGGAGGAAAGATACACTACGGAAGGGGTGTCATCGTCGTGTGTGCAGTTGCCAAACCAACACCGAAGGAAAACGCTTCGACCCCTACTCCTCCGTTCTGAAAAAAAAAAAAATCCTCACGACTGCAGTGACTTATCAGCCAGTACCCTTTTGGATATGCTCGATGCCCCGACATCGCCTGATCCCATGGAAATAAGACGACAAATTCGGGGAGAGAACCGGTAACATGGGCCATCGTCGAGAGAGGAAAGGCGGTTGCGAGGAGCTCTTAGCGGGTTTGAAGTGAGAGATGCTTCGGTGGACCTATCTCTATATTTTTCCTAGTTATTACTATTTAATAACTAGCAGAAGTGAGGGACTTATGATGGGGATATAAGACGCTGGATCTGTGTTTGTAGTTTGTTGGGGCCAGGCCCAAAAGAAAGGAGTGCAAGGCAGGTAGACTGGCAATGCAAGACCAGAGGCGACGACGCAAGGGAGAGGGGGGCTCCAGGCACCACCGGCGCACCGGAGGAGGCACCGGCTGGCGCGCTGGCTGCCAGATGCCGAGGCGCCCGCACCCATCGCGCGCACATGGCCCCGGGGTGCGACGCATGGCTGCTGACCTGGGACACGCTTTGAATAGTATAGGGGGGGGGGGGGGTCTGGTCCATATAGGGCATCCCTTAGACACCATATGCACTCTTGGTCCAATGGTCTGGTCTCCCCTCTCCTTGTTAATAGGCTCGGGTTCGAGTCTGCTTGGTAACGTAGTTAGGCATTCTTTATTATATTTGCTTACCAGTCCTTTAGTTCTTTATTTTATTATATTTATTCCCTAGTCCCTTGGTTATTTGGTTATGAGTTAATAACCAAAAATGGTCCATCGAGTATGCCGTAATTACCAATTTAGTCCTCGACTTCTATTCTTACCCAATTAAGTTCTCAACTATGTAACTTTTACCCAATTTAGTCCTCTGTTAATTTGATTGTTTGTTGACTGTCAAAAGTGAGGATAAAATTATAATTTCTACAAGCTTTCTCCTTCCTTTCCATTTAGCAGCACCAAACCATGCATCAATATGCTCCGATCAGCTTTTGATCGGCAAAAAATTGTTGGAAATCAAATCTTTTGGCTCTCCGATGCACAACCACTGCTTCGACACTGACAGGTTTGGAAGCCGATCGGAGCTTATTGCTGCATGGTTTACCGCTGCTAAATGACTAGGAAGGAGAAAACTTATAAAATTATAACTTTATCCCCACTTTTGACAATTAACAAACAGTCAAATTAACAGAGGACTAAATTGGGTAAACATTACATAGTTGAGGACTTAATTGGGTAAGAATGAAAGTCGAGGACCAAATTGGTAATTACGGCATAGTCGAGGGACCATTTTAGTTATTAACTCTTTGGTTATTTATTCTTTAGGCTCTCATTTTTGGGCCGGTGTTCTTGAGTTTTGTACGCATTCCAGTTCGGCCTCACGTCCCAATAATAGAAGTATCGTGCTTTTATTTCGTTCTATATTTTCCGTATATGATTTATAGTGACCTGGTTCTGATAAAATCATCAAACGTAATTTGAATTTTCACTTTATTCTTTTTCTACTTAATTACAATTCTTTTCTTTTCTAATACCCTCCTCTCAACCAAATGCGCAAATTATGCCGTGCAACCGAATGCACCTAGCAAGGTGCATACGGTTGCAAAACGGCGCCGTTTTACTAAAAAAACGACACGGCGCGCACAAAATCAAAAAAAAAAAAAAAATTGGATGGCCGTTAGCGGCGTTATTCATATCATATTTGGTAGTTTTGCGATTTTTTGGTAGTTTGGCGTTTTGATTGCAGTATACGTAAAATCGCAATCGCAATAGCGATCGCAGTCATTTTCCTGATTTATTGTATGGATCTCATGATGGATGATGCAGTAGACCAGAGAGACGAGGCATTAGATTAGAGAGATGAAGCAGGCGATGAATTGCATACGGTTCCAGGTTATTTTGCAGTTTGATTTTTATGGATTTGTGGTCGTTTGCGATTTTTGCAGTGTGATATATTGTGTAGGTGTTTATATTTAGTGTGATGTTTATTGTGTATGTGATGTTTATGTGATTCTAGTCTGAGATCATTCGTAACTCTTGGTGTTTATGTGTTTATGGTTTTCTGAATGAACGAAATATATATCCATAATCTTTGAACTATAAAACCAGAAGTTGTGAGCTATATATCCAGAATTATAGTAGTATATATCAAGGATTTTGTGAATGGATACTCTGTTCTGGATTGTATATTCATAATTATTGAACTTTTATGTCCAGAAACTGTGAGCTTTATATCCAGAATTCTATCACTATACATCCAGAATTATAATACTATACATCCACAAATTTCTAAACTGATACTCTGTTCTGGCTTTTAACACTATGCAGTCAGTGAAGATGTTGTTGTTGATTCACCAAGTTCAGATCCAATAGAGTTAGACATTGATGGTTCTTCTTCTAATCCAGGTCTATATGTAGTTTTATATGATCATAATTCACAGTGTTCAGCATTGTTATATGTTCATTCTTTTTCCATGGAAAATGTTATTCCTTTTGTAGAGCATGGCTGGATTTATTCGGCATTCCCTGCACCCCCTCTACATAAGAATTATATTTTCAATGGAACGTGTATTATTTAGTATACTTGAGGTTATATATTGCATTTGCAGTTGATGAAGATTTGGTTGGTGTTGTTGTAAGTAACGGGGTTGAAGCGTATGAGTTGTATAACAATTATGCATATAGAGTTGGTTTTAGTGTGAGGAAGGGTAATCAACGGTGCAAGGTATATAGCAAAACAGTCCAAATGAAGATGTTTATGTGTTCTAAAGCTGGTTTTAAGGTTAAGGCAAATGCTGGTGTTAGGGCATATTCAAAAATTGACACAAGGTCAGGGTGTGGTGCATGTGTTCAGTTTGACGTCGGTGAGGATGGGTTGTGGACGGTTACAAAACATGTAAAAGTGCACAATCACGAGTTATGTGCTGTAGACAAGAGTCATCTTCTGCGTTCACATAGAAATGTGGGTGATAATCAACTGTTATATTTAAAAGATTTGAAGAAGAGTGGTGTTGCAATGGCAGATGGTATTAGGTTCTTGAAACATCAAGCAGGGGGGTCTCCATTAGTTGGCTTCACTAATCGAGATGCTTATAATTCAATTGCTTCTGATACATCAAAGCGTTTGGATGGAACCGATTCGAACTCATTAATTGAAATATTTAGGAAGAGGCAGTCGACTGAGTCTGGTTTTTTCTTTGATTTTGAAGTTGATTGTGATTCAAGACTATGCAGTTTTTTTTGGAGGGATGGTCGGATGAGACAAGACTATGAGTTGTTTGGGGATTTATTAGTGCACGATACAACTTATCGCACTAATAAATATGATATGATTTGTGGCCCTTTTGTAGGGATGAACCACCATTGCATGAATGTAATGTTTGGATGTGATTTTCTGATGAATGAGAGGATAGAATCATTTGTGTGGCTGTTTAGAGCATTTTTAAGGTCTATGAATGGGAAATGTCCATAGACTATCATGACAGATCAATGTGCATCCATGGCTGCTGCTATTTGTCAGGTGTTTCCAACATCACGTCACCGTCTTTGTATATGGCATATTGGCGAGAATTCGAAGAAGCATATCAAGGCGTTAAGGAATAACAAGGATTTCTTAGATATGTTTAACTGTGTGTTGAAATACACAGAGGCTGAAGCTGAGTTTGAATTTTATTGGACAAGGTATGTCCACTACTTTTTTTTTTTTCCTTTTTCGATTCCAGTAATTGAATTATGGATGTTTAGTATTAGAATTATGGTCATATAGTATTAGAATTATGAATATATAGTATTAGAATTATGTGAACATGTTGTAGTATAGAATGGAACTTCTTGATTGTTCCTGTGTTACATGCATTTAATTTATGGATTTATAGTTTTGGAATTGTGAATATACAGTGTTAGAATTATGGACATATAGTATTAGTTGTCTGAACATGTATTAGTGAAGCAGTGAGCTTCCTGTTTGTCTCTAAATTATATGCATGCAATTTATGGATTTATAGTATTGGAATTGTGGATATATAATATTACAATTATGGATATATAGTATTAGTTGTCTGAACATGTAGTAGTG